GCTACTGAAGGCTCAAAGATTGACATAGATTGCAGCATTGGCGCGAAAATAATTTGACTTGAAAAACAAATCTCGGAAAGAAAATAATAAAGAAGTTATCAGCGCTGCAAAATGTCTGATACACCTCCATTTGATTCATTTTTAAAATGGAAGTTGGGGATTGAAAGTCCCTCTTTAGCCTATGCTGCCAAGACAGTGACAAGGAATATCATCTTAGCTTTGACTCTCTTTGAAACCACTCTTTCAATTTCAAAGAATCTGCCAGATGAAGCCTTCCTTTTCTTACTTTTGAAGTAAAAATCGGCTGTGCTAAGCCTATCGAGCGCTTTGTAAAAGGTAATTTCCGACATCTTTTGATGTTTGATTTAGTGGGATGCGCAGCCGCAGTAAGGTGAAACGCAGCTCGTGTTGCGTCCGCGACATCAGCCGCTGACTGACTTCGATTTCCAACCATGTCTTCAATTAAATGCCAAATTCTCTCAGCTAAAATTATAAGAAACATGCGAGGCTAAGGAGAATTAATATTTACGTCAAAAGGGTGAAAGAGTTGGCTGAAAACAATATGAGAACCTTTTTTCTGCCACCAATCAAAAAAAACAATTTGTCACTCCAAAAGTAAGAAAGTAAAAAGTAATCAATGAGTTACTCATGAATATTGCTGTGAAAGATTTCACAGTTTTCAGAGGTACTCTGTTAACAACAACTTTGTGTAATGATTGGCTCAATTTTCTCTCGACAACAAGCAGACAAGGCATAACTAGTGTAACGTTAACTTATGCACTCAGTCTTTATTGTATTGTAGTAATTGAATCTGGAAGAGTCTTCTTCTTTGTTGGCCTCTTGTGGCGATGGCCTTTGTATGGAGCATAAAAGGAATTGTTCTGCAAGGATTGGTCCTCAAGAAGTTATTAGTAACAGCCATCCACAAGTGTGACATCAGCTGTGAAAGAGAAATCAGTTGCCAGAGTTACAATTGTGTGATCGGTGAAAAGTCTTGTGAACTGAGCAACTGGACTCAGAGGTATGTATTTGATAATCAAGTAGGGTCAACTTGCTCTTAGTCCAAGTTCTATTCAGCAGGAGAATCGATGGCTAATGCTTGTACTATTCTATCGCATCTATGTTATAGGTAGAAACAAATGCCAGACATTTGCGCATATCAATGAGATGCTGTGGCGAGCAATTTAAGCACAAGGAGAAATTGGGCCAAATTTGGCAAAGTTGGCTGCATGACTTTAACAGTCGTTTCCGGTACTTAGAGTAGGTCTAGCTGATTTACTAAAACAGATTTACCTCGCCAAAGGGTTCAACTAACTTTATCGTCATACTTTGGGAAAATTGAAGAAGAGGAAGAAGTTTTAAACTTTTTATTTTGCAAAACTAGGCTTTTTGGGAACTATTTGTAGAAAAGAACACCTTCATAAAGATTCCCCCTCACATTTCCTTAAAAAGCAGCTATCACTTATTACTGATGCAGTTTACTAAAAATACATATGTTCCCTAGCGTACTTGGAGGCTAATTTGCCTTTTTCTGCTTCTTTTCTGCAACAGATGAAGCAGTCCAACAATTTAACCAAAATAACATAAATTTTCTGAGGTTCTACAGTATCCATCATAGATTCCAAAAATTGTATCACGATAACATTGAACCAGATGATGAATTTAATGTCATGTTTAGACCTTAATTTACCAAGATAAGTAATACAGTCCTTAGTAGTCCATTAAAACAGATTTTCGCGAGCGTCAATGATAACGTCATAACGAATCTATCATTCTTCTTGCTGCCTTTCCCGATGACTCCGTTAGTACCTGTCAAAGCTTTTGGAAAATTGCTCAACCTTTAAATTAGCGAAGTATGACTTAATAACATTTCGGCTTCACAACACCATTGTTTTCTGCAACTACAAATAATCTGTCCATGACTCGATAGAAGCTATTAAAGTTGTTTCACCGCTGACCACTCGTATTTCGGTCTTTTTTTTCCCCCCGGTTGTCGCCTGTAATGTAACTAGACCCTGTGCGCAGGGTAACTGGGATACCTGGATGGTACTGGATCCGTGGAATCAAGTGTAGTGATACTACGCGTGTCGGACCAGTACACTGAAATAGTGAGCTCAAGTCTGGCCAAGGGCATACACCTGTCTCAAAACATAGGCATGCTATGCATGCAAGAGTTATTTTTTGTAGGGTGGGTGGATTAATTGAAACATTGTAAGTGGTCTACATTCTTACAAAAGGAAAGAAGATTATTAACGCGGGAAAGAATGAAAATGTCGAATTACCTCACACACAGGTATTTTGTGGTAGATTATGTGTGTTATGCGAATAAATGTAACCAAAAATAAACTGTATTGGTGCCACGGATACCTGTTAGTACAAAATGTAGACAGCAGACTGCAGACCAGATACAAAATATAGACTGCAGAGTGGATACAAAATGCAGACTGAGAATCTGAAGAGTTTTTACGTCTGGTATATAATAACATGTCATCTTACAGCTAACTGAGCGTCACGCAATCGCTTTTCCGCGATCAGCCTTCACGATTATTTGCACTATTGTGGAAAATTCCTGGCCCATTTCTTGACGAAAATCGATCGTAATATAATTTTAAGCCTTCAACATAGTTGGTTGGTGTGATGTCTGTACAGATTTTACCAATGTAATAAAAGTAGATGACGTGAATAATAGTGATGGTAAAGCAAGCTTAAAACGGCAACAATCGTCAGAAACTACAACGGATACATAAGGTATGAATAAGTTTTATTGATTTTACAAAAAAAATGTTCATATTTCGAAATATTTATCGTTGTAAATCGACCATATTTCGTTCCCTATACTATTCCTTATAACGTGTTCAAATTTTCAACGGTTCCTGGCATAACTATTCCTGAGTCACACAACGCGTGACGCGTTCTTGAATTAATCGTTGGCTCTTTCTCGAGACGTGACCTTGAGTCGCCTGTGACAAGACAATTGCGTAAACAATACTTAACATAATAACATTATACACAAAAAACACGGGATTTTGGATCATGTACTTATTAAAAAAGAATATCCATACATCTACAATGAAAACAAACATAAGATTCACCTTTCTGATCGTGAAATTAATACCATTCGCACTGTTATCGTAGCTACGTTCCCTGGCATCAAGTGAATCCAACATGGCGTCTTTCTTCACGAGCACAAGCGACTAAATACAGGAATGGCTCCGACCTGTGATTGGATGATAAAAATAGTAAAAGTTAATAACTTATATCTTAACTCCTTGCACGTGAGTATGGTTAACCGCGTGTCTCGAAGCGGAACAATGAAATATCCTTGCGAAAAAACCGATGACTCAAACAAGAAATGGCTACTCACATAATGAAGAGAAGGCAGAGTCTAGCTTGTTCAGCGAGGTCGTTCAGCGATATTCCGGCGATGAAAAAGTCATCTGCTGACTAGCTCCGCTGACTAAATTCAGTTAGTCAGTCCACGCGCACGACCAGAGACTGGAGCCATTCCTGTATTTCACCGCAGACAGGAATAGCTCCGACTCAAACGTTTAATAATTTTTTTTCAATAATTTTTAAGTAATTTTTAAACAGTTTTTGAAAATAAAATTTAAAACTAAACTAGTGAGCAGCGCTGTGCGAACAGTAGTTTTAAAACAGATGAAGAGCCCGATGAATGGATTTGTCCTTCATGTGAACAATAACCTAGAAAATCAGTTTTCCACGAAAAAAAAACTCCCTCGATTGTGGCCAAGCCATATTTCTCCAGCAGAGCATACTGTAAATTAAAAACATCTGTTGCAGCGTCACGCAACATTGCGTGATTTTCCAAACGTGAGATGCAGTTGCTGCATTATTTTAAAACTTAGGAACTACATAGCCCTGTAGTAAGAAAAGAGGGCTTCACTTGCAAGCACTGTAGACTTCAACTTTAGAGGAACCTAATAAATCGCCCTTTCAGTTTTTCTCAGTGTATGAATTATTTAGCCGGAACGAAAAAAAAATTAACATACGCATGAGTTGGAGCTATTCCTGTCTGCGGTGAAATACACGAATGGCTCCAGTCTCTGGTCGTCCGCCTAAACTGACTAAATGAGTTTTGTCAGCTGATCTTGTCAGCGGATGACTTTTTCATCGCCGGAATGTCCCTGAATGACCTTGCTGAACAAGCTAGACTCTGCCTTCTCTTCATTATGTGAGTAGCCATTTCTTGTTTGACTCATTGGCGTTTTCAAATTGATATTTCATTGTTCCGCTTCGAGACACGCGGTTAACCATACTCACGAGCAAGGAGTTAAGATATAAGTTATTAACTTTTACTATTTTTATCATCCAATCACAGGTCGGAGCCATTCCTGTATTTAGTCGCTAGTTTCACGAGCAATTTGCATCCATTTGAATTTTGGTCTTCAGTCTCACGGCAGTAGTACTGTTCAATAGATTGCATAGAGTATATGCAGTTTGGTTTCAGATTTCAGATTTTGCTTTTTACGACGAGTTAACGTTTTCAACTAAGACGTCGGCATACTTAGCATACAAGACATATAAGGCATTCAATGCTTTCGTGGCCTTCAAGCGTTCGCGATTCAGTCCGTTCCAAAATTACCGCTCAATAACATCGTTTTGTGTGGATTGGCCGCGAACAATACGACTTGTGTATGCGTCTATAAGTATTTTGAGCGTTTGCGCCATATTGCTCCAGATGATCGTAATCCAAACACGTTGACATACAAAATGACTGACAAAAGAGTTTTATGGGCAAAAATTTCGTGCTCGTCATGTGACAACGTCAATCATCATCAAGATAACATGCGTGATCAGCATGTGAACACCTCATTGGATCACAGTTAGTTGTCATGGTGTTGAGGGCCCAATGACCTCTGGGTACTATTGCGCAATTTTTCCATTTTGTGGCGGACGAAAAAAAAAAAAAAAAAAAGGCAAAAAAACAAAGGCTTTTTATGACTGAGCTACCACAGGTATCCCAGTAATAACTCGCTACTATGGCGGCTAGTAGCAATCGGGTAGCGGCTAGAATTGATGTAAAGCATAAAATTACGCATACGTTCGGTGACTTTAGGGAAGAGCTACTCCATAAACTCAACGAGCTCAGAGAATCGAATTCTCTCTGTGATACAACAATTCGAGCCGGAGGAAAGGATTTCCCTGCCCACAGATGTGTTCTGTCAGCTGCAAGTCCTTACTTCCGGGCCATGTTTACAAGTGAATTGGGGGGAAAAGAAAGTAACCTTGTCGAGTTAAAAGAGATGAAATCTACCACGATTAGCGATGTTCTTCATTATATTTACACCGGTAAAACAGCAATCGACTCTTCCAACGCGAAAGATTTGGTCGAGGTTGCTAACTATTTGACAATGCCAACTTTGAAAAGGGAAGCTGCAGTTTTCATCCAGAATGAAATGATGAATGTTTCCAATTGTTTAGCTTTAGAATCGTTCGCTTCTAAGTACGATTGCCAGCAACTAAGGCAAGCTGCAGTTTCTTTCCGAGCTGAGAATTTTGTAGACTTCTCTAGAACTGAAGATTTCACTTTATTTGATTCGGAAAAAGTACAAGAACTGATTTGCATGGACGAGATAAACGTGGCTGAAGAAGAGGAAGTGTATGAAGCAGTGATGACCTGGGTGAAACATGATCTACCATCCAGAGAGTGCACTCTTCCAGAATTGTTGAAATCTGTTAGATTGTTTTCAATGTCAAAATCCAGTCTTCGAAGAATACTTGATCAAGAGCTGGTTTCTAAAAGTCTCGCATGTACGAGGATTGTAATAAATGCGTTGGATTTGTTCCTTTTCCCAGTGTTGTCGCATGACATTTCACTGACACCTCGCTCGTCATTAAATAATTTTGAAGATGTAGTGGTACTCACACGTTCTGAGCTACCATCTGATGAAAATAATAAAAGCAAAATTAATTGTTTTGTTCTCAGTACTATGACCTGGGAGTTCCTCCACGCGATACCTTTCAACAACAACCATCACGATACCGCTGTGTGCGGAGGACTCTTGTACGTAGTGGGAGATTTTGACTCAACTTCAATGAGTTGTTTCAACCCAAAGCTAAATATGTGGAGCACTCTTGATACAACATTGACTGGCAAAGACTTTACAGTCACATCTGTTGATAATGAGCTCTTTTTGATAGGTGGTGAGGATTCTTGGCGTGATGTTCAAATATACAATCCAGTTCTTAAAGAGTGGAGACAAGGAGCATCAATGAAAGCTGCTCGTGCAGGACATAATGCAGTTTTACTTCAAGGACATATTTATGTCATTGCTGGTCACAATGGTGAGTGCTGTCAGAACAGTGCAGAGTGTTACAATCCATTAACTGACCAATGGGCTGAGATTTCAAGTATGTCTGATGTTCGAAGGTCAGCTGCTGCTGTGGCAGTTGGTGGAAAGATTTTAGTTGTTGGAGGATTTGGTGACATGTCATTTCACACTGTAGAGTCTTCCTGTGAGATATTTGATCCAACTGTCAACCAGTGGAGTCTGGTACCTAGTCTAAGTATTCCTCGTGCTAGAAGTGGTATTGTGGGTGTAGGAGACACTGTTTATTTATTTGGAGGTGAAGATGAAAAGGAATCTCAGAGTGATGTGCAATGTTTTGATTTAAATACAAGTAAGTGGAATGAAATATCAAATATTCCAAGTTATCCTTTTACTGGCATACGAGCATCTTTGCTTAAATTACCCAAATGCTTTATGGAAAATGGTTACAGAAATCACATCTCGGAAGGGTAGAAGAGTTTCTCAGTTTTTCACTAGAAATTCCAATAAATGTCAATGGGCTAAAGGGATCAGGGAAATAATTGCTCTGATTACTTTACCTGTACAACATAATTGATACATTCTGTATTAAATGAAAATTATGACAAAGTTTTTCATTTGAGGTGGTATTTTGACGGAAGTATTTCAGTGGATAGTTTACAGGATATTGACATCTTTGTTACCAGCCGTGTCATAAGTCAGTCTTGTGGCTCATTAATGTGAAATGTTAAAGTAGGCTTAATTGATTGATTGATTGATTGATTGATTGAATAACCAACATTTTCTTCTGAACAAAGACATGTGACTAAAGAAATGTTCCTTTTGGGTGCAAACAGGACTTGATTGATTTTCAAAACCCTTGAAGGGTTAAGTTTATTACTGTTTAGCATTTGGTGTTAAGGTCTTAGTGAAAAAATTCTCAATTAAAAAAAATGCAGGAAGCAATTGAATACCTAACCAGGTTTTGATCGATTTCCTTTTAGATAAGGTTTGGAAATTCATTATTTTCTTAATTAGAGCTAAAATTTCAAAGATGCCCCTCAATCTTTAGATGTTTGGTAGCAAAATGCGTCAATTGTTTACATCCTCTGAGGACTTTTCTCTCTGTCATGTGTCCAAATTGCTCAGATAACAATTGCAATTAAATTGTTATTAACTATTGATGTAAGACTAGGGCTGTGCCGTAGCAAAGCCATGGTGCTTCATCAACTAAATTTAGTCATTGGGTGAGTTGTGTAACTATGTTTTGACTCTGATGTCATGAGTGTGCACAATAGGAATATGAAGCATGCTCATGCAATTGAATTTGATTAGACGAATTTACTAGCTATGTTATAACTAAATTTAGTCTTTTGGTGAGTTGTGTAACTGTGTTTTGTGTTGTGTTTTGTATAAAGAATGATGTCTTAAAAATGTGAACAAACCTCTTATCCATAAGCACGCCCAACACAAATTATTGAACTATCATATACAGCTAATTAAGCTATGGAACATTTTGTACCAAATATTGATAATAATGAATCCCACAAAAATGAATGGAATAATTACCATGAAGGTTTACGTTCTATTTACAATTAACAATACATTTTGATTCAAGGGAGCTGAGCACCCTAGATTTATGTGACTTGGTAGAAGAGTTTATAGAATATAGTGCTAAGAATACTGAATTAAAAGATCGGGTGTTTCTCTTTAACAGTCAAACTCAAGTTTGAACAATGAAAGGTTAGTTTTATGTATTAGATGCTGGGTGTATCCTAAGCTTTGTTGCTAGGGTGCTTTTTTAGACTCCACCTGTGAGTTTCAATTTTTTATGCATTTGCAGACATTTGGCTATATGTATTTTTGTATCTTTTTTTGAGATGAAATATAATAAATGAATAATCTTACCAAAGTTTAGATTCAACAATGATTAATTGTTAAGTGTCTCCCATTATTCTCCTCATATACCTGATATATAATCATGAATACAGACATTTCGCACAAAAGACTTTTCGCATAAGTCTTTTAGCACAAGTTTTGGACCGTTCGCATAATTCTAAGTGGTCATTTCGCACAATGATTATAAGTGAGAAACATCATTATAAAAGGTATACTTATTGATACTGATAAGACATTTCACCTTCCCATGTCACTTACAATAAGATCCAACGGCTAGAACGTAGACATTTATTTGCATAATTTCTTCAACTAGATCGAAACGCTTGTGAACACGATCAATATTCTTACTTGAAGAAAGGAACAAATCTTTCTCTCTATGAAAATGTAAAGAACTCCCTATTTGAACGATTACTTCTATTACTTTTCCTTGGTAAGCGAAAAACCTTTTAGTTTTGACGGTACATCATCCACTACAAACATACGAACATGACGACCCAGCGCTAAGGACATAATGTTGATTTCGAAAGTAATTTTCACCAGTCCTCCCTCCTCTGAAGTCAAAGTAAAAACCTGCAAACTGTTTCACTTTTTATTAAGAAGGACAAAAGACCTATTTAAAAATTTCTGTTTAAATATATAAAATTCAGGTAATGTCAATTATGGAATTTTAATTACAGTAATTAAGATTCATTTGCTCTCTAGTAACTATTAAACAGAAGGTACTGCCAAAATTGAACATTTCTTTCGTAATCTATTCTACTCATTAAATCGAGAACAAAAGATTCAAGAAGGAGACGAGTTGAAAAAATATCTCACCTCAATCTATTAAAAATATCAACAAAAGATAATGCTCGCTTCCCTTGGTGACGAGCAATAGTCAACTTGGGCGAAAAGTCTTTGGTTGTGTCGTATAATTTTCAAAACTATTCACGTGTTGGTTACAATGTCATAGTATAATTATTACACACCAAATACTGCTTGTCTTTGCATTTTGTATGAAATTGATGAACTTTGATAAACAATTACATCCATATTTTGACTATGTCACGGCCATGTTACCCGACGAATCATGCCTATTTTAACTCGCTACTCGGTCAAGACTCGTAGAAATTTAGCCCTTTCCTACATTCATTTAAGCTATAGTACATCTAGATTTCTTTATTTGTTTTGATCTTAAGCTTATATGATTACTTATCGAACGGCTGGCATGTAATCTTTGAATTATTTTGAATTCTTGAAACCTTCGTGAAATCATTTGTTTACATCACGGTCGCTACGACGCTTATCGATCGATACTGAACTCTTCATCGCTTTGGTAATTGTTATTTGAATAATTTGAAAGGTTACTACTTGATCATAGTTAATCGAGGGGACTGGTTGTGGCAATCTTCAAAGAGATTTTTAATCAGTTATTGTTTTAAAATGTTTAACAACAAATGCAACAGCAACTTATTAGAAATGATTAGGAATATAAAAATATGTTCTAGGGGTCAATAAATTAAATTAAATTGTTTATCGCATGATGATTTTTAGAGTTTAGCTTTGCCTTAGTTGATCAAACTCATGGGAGGCTCTGCTAATATCCTTACCAAGTGCTTTGGATTTCATTTGTTTCAGTCTAATCTTATGTTTCTGGATGATATCTTTCGCAAAAGAAAATGACCGCACTTTGACATACAATTGTATGATGTTGTGCAAAACATCTTTTGCAACACTACTGTTGATTATCAGTTGAGAATTGGATAACAGTGAATTGTATGCTGAGACAACTTCAACATCATGAACAGATCTTGATATAATACTAGCAAAAGCTATATTCTGCACAGTAGTTTTTGAGGTGGTATCCCTGAAATAATGTTCAGTTCTATCAAAAATTGATTGAGCACTTTTTGTAATTGCCCACAAACCACCACAATTTAAGGATGAAGTTAACTTCTGGCATTCAATAGCATTCTGGTCTTCTAATTTGCCAGCCTTAAGGATGGAGATTGCCTGCTCACTTTCTGATGATTTACTGACATGCTTGGTATGAAGTTTATGAAGCACATAACCGCCAATATACTGTAGTCCAGCTTTTTCTTCATCTGAAAGTTTAGTTAATGGGGCGCAAGTATAAGTGCTTTCAATTTTCTCCTTGCTGTGTACCAACATACAATCAGCAACCTTGGTAGACAGTAGAGTAGCAGCGTTCCTTGATAATCCCTTAAAATGCTTAACTGCATTCAGAGCTATGGTTGAGTAGAAGCAAGAATAAAATCTTTCAGCATTTCCAGACTTTGTCAAGCGTTTATATAGATCTTCAATGTCGCAGAATTCAGCTGGTATGTCTTGTAGACCGTTGTTGTGGGTGTAGCATCTTAGCTCGTCTCTGATTGTTTTTGGATAAATTTTGTTGTCAGCAATTTTGTGTTTAGCTTTTTCTACAATTCTTGAGTAAGCTACAAAAGTTAAATAGCTTTCTTGTCCTCCTTCTTTTTGCTTCTCAACATCATCTCTCGTATCTCTGTGTTTAACTGTCTTGTGTCGTTTCAGTCCGCTCTTGCTTTTACATTTCTTGTGGCACAGTTCGCACACAATGTCTTCGAGTTGAACCTGTTGTAAGCAAAAGTAACTTTCAGTCGAGAAATCAGTCATAAAACGATACTACAAAGTCTAGTTCTAAGCATAGATAATGGAAATAAGAAAATGCTTAATAATTACATCGTCAGTAAAGTACGCCACTTAGTTATAAGAATTTAGTTATAACACAAGTCGCTACAAAAAAGCAGCATCGATACCCGATGACAGTCCATCGAGCTAAAAGACGATGACTGTCAAAGCACGGCGCTTTTCGCTAAATTTTGGGTCGCTAAGAAAGAATATAATACTCACTTCATCGGCAGCTTCTCTAAACTGTTCATCGAGCTCTTCTTCTTCTTCCAAAATACCTAGAATAGCGTCAAAATCGTCTCCAAAGAAAAACAAATCGTTCGTGTCCGCCATATTGTCTTGGAATGTGTGCGCGGTCAATGTCACGTGATGGTGCAATTCAACCTCAAACGCGAAACAAAAGGCCGGCCCTCTGATGTGTGCCGGCTTTCACAACCAGTCCCCTCGATTAACTATGATTTGGCGCTCATCTTTGAATGTACTTTTTATCGGTTGATCGCTCGTGTGTTAAGTTATTTCTTTTCTCAACTGTTTTGCCCAATATATCATTTCTAAAGCTAGGTTTTATTGTGGTTCAATGGGAAAACGAGAACAACGTGAGTGTTGTAAATGAAAAGAAAGTCGTCGGCGCCGTGGAGTTAAAAGAAGGGACAACACTTGACATATGGACTGGTACAAACAAGGGACAAGCGACTAAATACAGGAATGGCTCCGACCTGTAATTGGATGATAAAAATAGTAAAAGTTAATAAGTTATATCTTAACTCTTTGCCCGTGAGTATTGTTAACCGCGTGTCTCAAAGCGGAACAATGAAATATCAATGCGAGTGAAAACACCGATCTATAAAAAAAGAAATGATTACTTACGTAGCCAAGGGAAGGCAGCCTTTCTTATTCAGCGAGGTCGTTCGGCGATATTCCAGCGATGAAAAAGTCATCGGCTAACAAGCTCCGCTGACAAAACTCATTTGGTCAGTTCAGGCGGACGACCAGAGACTGGAGCCATTCCCGTATTTCACCGCTGACAGGAATAGCTCCGACTCAAACGTTTATTAATTTTTTTCAATAACTTTTTAGTAATTTAAAAAAAAAAAGATTTAAACATGTTAAAAATTTAAAACTAAAATGGTGAGCAGTGCTGTGCGAACAGTAGTTGTAAAACTTCTTTATTCTCTGACGCGTTTTGTTTAACTCTCGTAACTTCTTCGGGGAGTTTTACGAGGTAACACTAAACGCGTATAGTTATAAACCATTGTTAGCAGCTATGACCAGTGACCATAAGGGCTTACCTGGACCTACGAGCAGGAATAGGCAAAGTTGTGAAAATTTGAAAATTTCTTTTGAAAATTTATTAAGCAAGATGAGAAATATTTTTTGGGAGCCGCAGTTTTAGCTGAAAATTTTCAAATTTGAAAAATTGAAGAGGTTTTTTACAGATGATGCCTGGAAAGCAGTTGGCAAATTAGGTTAGGATGGCTCGTACAGAAAATGTAGTTTATGGTCCACTCATTCTTTCTTAAATTTAAGTGGTATAAATACCTTGTCTAAAACAGTAGTGTGATACGATAACTAATGAGATATACTCGTTCCAATACTATGTCATGTGATGAATAGCCTTCATTAATTTTGGAACATGTTTTATAAAATCATTTTACTCTTTCTTGTTATAGCCAAAAACTGTTCGAAGATTGGTTGTGCTATCACTGCAAACAGTCAAGGTACTTCGATATGATTCAGTGCGAGGGCTACTGCCACTGGTTTAACTGGTAAGACACTATTTTTTTTTTGTTTTGTTTTTTTCCTTTTTTAGGTCTAGTGGAGTTGTTAGAAATTACCAAGCAAAATTAATCCGCGACTTTCTTCCTTTGGGTGTTGTGCAAAAATAGATCAAGAACCCGATGAATGGGTTTGTCCTTCATGTGAACAATTACCTAGAAAATCCGTTTCCACGAAAAAAATTCCCTCGATTGCGGGCAAGCCATACTTCTCCAGTAGAGCATACTGTAAATTAAAAACATCGGTGGCAGCGTCACGCAACCTTGCGTGATCTTTCAAACATGGTATGCAGTTGCTGTATTATTTTAAAACTTAGAAACTACATGGCCCTGTAGAAATAAAAGAGGGCTTCATTTGCAAGCACTGTAGACTTCAACATAAGAAGAATCTAATAAATAGCTCTTTCACTTTTTATCTGTATATAAATTATTTAGCCAGAACCAAAAAATTAATATACGCATGAGTTGGAGCCATTTCTGTCAGCGGTGAAATACAGGAATGGCTCCAGTCTCTGGTCGTCCGCCTAGACAGACTAAATTAGTTTTGTCAGCGGAACTTGGCAGCGGATGACTTTTTCATCGCCGGAATATCGCTGAACGACCTAGCTGAAGAAGATAGACTCTGCCTTATCTTCGTTATGTAAGTAGCCATTTCTTGTTTGACACGTCGGTGTTTTCGCATCGATATTTCATTGTTCCGCTTCGGTACACGCGGTTAACAATACTCACGTGTAAGGAGTTAAGATATAACTTATGAACTTTTACTATTTTTATCATCCAATCACAGGTCGGAGCCATTCCTGTATTTAGTCGCTTGTCAAACAAGGGTCGAGTGGCCATTTATTAAGCTACGAATTTGAAAGTTTGTGGTGAGTAAAAATTGTGATATTCGTTACGTGATCAAATTCTTATCAAAGAATAGATATAACGGCTTGAGTTAAGCTTACATAACGCTCGGCGCAACTGAAACTAGAATAATTCTGAGAATCGAATCAGTCACTTGCATGCCGCAGTTTCTTAAGCTTATGCTTTACTAACAATGAAATAAATCTATCAGTAAGGTTTCAAGATTACTTTAGTCACGTTTTGGGAACATTCAAGATTCATAATACAAATTGTGATTAAACATACCTTATTACATAAAGAAGCCCTCCTTGGTAAAAACAAAATACTCTATTCAGCCGTTTTTTAGTAAAATCTTTGGGAGAGATGTACTAACTCCAATATAAAAGTCATTCAATATAAGAGAGATTTCCCAATCCCAATACACTTTGTTAAATTGAGATTTCCATGAATGCCCTTTTCCTTCTAGCTATCTAAGGCCTTGTCTGAGCTTTTAATATATATTTACATATATGTATATATATAAATTTTTTCAAATTCAGATGCCATGGAATCCAGATACAAAATGGTCAAGCTTCTTGTGGACAACCTCTTTCAAGGCCAACAGGGAAAGCTGTGAGCCCAGGAAATAAAGACAAACGACAGCTAAGTCTGCAGTTTAGGATAACTTCATTCTAATTTATTGTTACAAGATTTTAATTAAAAAATCCATTCTATTTAACTGTAATTAACCCCTTTCACCCCCAAGAGTGCTTGGTCAAAATTTAAGAAGAAATCTTTGAATTTCATTGTGCAGAATTAAAAAAAACAAACAGCAAAGCATGAAAGTGCTGCTTGACAGCTTACATTTGAATGTTCACACACAAGAGTTTTATCCAAATAAGTTACAACTACATAAAATCAAGTCAAAGCCTGTCTCTGGGAGTGAAAGGGTTAAATACCATTTGTATCATCATCCAAAATTAAATGATTCATTTTAAGACTATTTTAGACAAATAGTATTTATTGTAATAAATATAATTCAAGATATTGTATTTTATGGAAAAGAATCAGTAGATTTTATTCACAATTTGTGTCAAACCAAATTTAATGATTGATTAGGACTACTTTATATAAATAGCTGTAATTGAGGTTTAATTTGTATGAAATTTTTGAGAAAAGAAAAATAAATCAAATCCATCCTAATATTACTACATGTTGATATTAATATACAATCAAAAATATTTTACATAAACCTAAATTAAGCTTGTAAATAAATTTCATGGAATACTTGAATTTTAGCGGGGGTTTTCTTAATTTGTGGTATTTATTTTATATTTGTAGCCTCAAATTTTTGCTTAAAAATCCAAGTAATTCCTAAACATTCCTAGAAAGTCCTGAAACTTGGAAACTCAGGGAATTTCTAGGTTTTTAGAACCAGAGTTGTTATAGTTGGGAATTCCTGGGAATTCTTTGGAATTCCCAGTTCAAATTTACCGCAAAAATTCACACCTCCTATTCCTAGGAATTCCTAGGAAAAATACCTATGGATTCCTTAGATAATCTTAGGAATTCCAAAATCCATT